TTTTTTAATAAATCTGCAAAAATGTCAAAAATTCTGTTTTTCTGTCAATATGGGGTGCTGTGTGTACATTGAGGAAAAAAATGAACTTAAATGATTTTAGCATATGGCTGCAATATAACAAAGAGTGAAAAATTTAAGGGGGTCTGAATACTTTCCGTACCCACTGTATGTCTGTTATAGTCCTCAGAGAACTCCAGTTACACAGTTAGTACAATTGCTGCAGTTAAGTAGGGCAATATAAATTTTGCCCTACACTTCAAGACGCATGAACACCGTGGACATGAAACCAGACAGTACTGAACTGTAGAGTAGTTTTGGTGAGTACGTGTGTGAATGTGGGTTTATTATTCACAGTAAGGGGGCAAAAAAGAAGAGGAAGTGGGGGAAGGATAAAGAGAGAAAGAGTCAGAGTAAATTTAGCTACTGTAAGTTCCAGGGCTGTTTCATGCTCAAACACATGAAGTACTCATTTCCTGTTAGGCATTTATGTAATTAGGTTTGAGCTGAAGACACTCATTTCCTTTATTAATTTGTGCACACTTCTGTGTGTATACCTTTATATTTGCTCTAACACTATTCATGTGGTATGTGACAGAAGAAGTATGTTTTCATATTAGAATGCAGGCAAACACGAACACACACACACACACACACACACTCACAGACACACACTGCCTGTTTGGATCAGATGAAAGCTGTCACCACATGAGATGTCATTCATCTTTCATCTTCAGTTAGCCATCCATCACCCTCCATCATGTTTCCCTTTTCTGCCACCAACTCTGGGGATAATTTCACCCAAACCTTGGCAAATACCTGTGTATCCGCCAAGTTTCTGAAAATGTCTGTGGCTTCCAGCACATCTGAGGGAAGGATCAGAAAACATCAGCATTCTGTTTTGGAGATCATTTTGTATTTCCTTTTTTGTCTTTTATTATTATGCCCATTTTCCAGTTAGGTTCTCAACATGTTACTTCATTGGCTGGACTAAATATACAAAGGGCAGGAATAGAAAATAACATCAGATCAGCTAGAGGAGAACACAGAGAAATAAAACTAGATGGGACTGCCCACCTGACTAACCACTCAACATTTAAACACTCCTCATTTTGTATGTCTGTAATCTACAGTGCAAACCATTTTTACTTTGTCATTAATGATTATTTTTATTCACTTCTGGTTCATGCAGGTCAGTGTTTGCCCTTTAATCTGTTTACTTCTCTTGTTGCCCGCTGCCTTTTCAGTGTCTTCCTTCTTTCAACCTCTGGTTGATGAACCGCACTAAATTTTCTATGGTT